AGCGATTTATTAATAAATTTACTCATTCTGTGTCTCCAACGTATTGGCTGTTTCAATTGCGTACCTTTGAAATAAGAGTAAAGTTCGTGAGAAAACGAACATTAAGGTCCAACGAGCGCGGATATTTAAAAAGTGGCAACTGTGAATTACTGCGCCTTCCGGAGTTTTTTTTGAATCAAGCACAGAAAGCAGTGGCGGACCGTCACTGAAGTGCTTCCCAGTGAGGTGGGAGTGTATATCCTACTTCATTGGACGAGGGAAAGTTGGCGTAGTACCAACCAAGCTGCGCGAGAGGGCGGTTAAGTCAACCGACGAAAAAGGTGACAGTGACAGCAGCAAATTTCATCTGTCAGTCAGCAGTATTGGTCCAGCTGAAGATTTGAAGAGTGAAGTTGGAGCAATATATAATTGGAGATAATACGTCACAAGGTGGTTTGGTGTGTATAAGTGATGTGAAGCAAAACCGTGAGTACTCTATATTGTTTATGTTGCAGAATAGTGTGGACAGTAATAAAGTGTTGCCTGTTAGTTAGTTTAGTAGATTTAAACTTGTTAAAAATTTAATGTTCAATTGATAGGGACTTAGAATAATTCTGAAGAAAGTGATTATACGGGGAACCTATGCCAGATTTTGCCTAAATGTGTTATTTCTCAAACACTTGTAAAAATTTTATGTGTTGTTTGGAACTTGTAAAATTTTCTGTTATATTAATTCGGACAGAATAACTTATAAGATAAGTAAACATATACGATTTGTTGTACATGCCAATTCACTTGTAAATTTGTTTTGAACTGCCTAAGATTTCAATTTGTAAGCAGAATAATTTCTTTATATACCTAGTAGTTCGCTAGTGTATAATAATTGGAATTTATATTTGTGTTCTCTTGAACTTTAATAGTTTTGCTTCTAAGTCTCAGTCGTTTATAATTTAAAATGGAAAATTTTATTAAAATTCAAATAGAAATTCAAAGTAGAATAAAAAAAAAACTTTAATTAATTACAATAAGTCTCCGAAAGAAAGAATTAATGCAACATATATTGAAATGCGTATACAAAATTGAGATGCACAATGGACGCAGTTTCTTGAAACACATGCTCGTCTTATTGAAAAATGTGGGGAAAAGGAATTGTTTGATAGTAATTACTTTAAAAATAATATTTATGATGAAACAGAAAATGCATATATAGAAACTAAAACTGTGTTAAAAGATGAGCTTGCTAAGTTACAATCTGTTCATATAACTGAAAAACCTAACTTTGAAAAGGGTGTAGAATGTACAAATGTTAAACTTCCAAAAATTTCTATTCCGACTTTCAGCGGAAAGTATGCCGAGTGGACAACCTTTAGGGATTTATTTATAACACTTATACATAAAAATGCATCCATTGAGAATATTCAAAAGATGCATTATCTTAAGGCACATTTAATAGGTGAGGCAGAACAACTTTTGAGACATATTCCTGTAACAGCTGCTAATTATTTAGAGTTCTGGAATTTATAAAATAAGCGATATGATAATAAAAAATATCTCACAAATTGCTTATTAAAGAGATTTATGAGTCAACCTAATGTTTCTGAATATTCACGCTCCATAAAGGAACTGATCGATACTACTGTAGAGTGCTTAAACGGTTTAAAAAACATAGGCGTTGTTGTAGAGTCATGGGATGTTATTGTAATCTATATTGTTAGTGCAAAATTAGATAATGAAACACGTAAGTTATGGGAATCTACCATAAGTGCGTCCGATGATCTACTCATCGATGAGCTTTGTTCAAAACAACAATTTATGCTTGAACTGTCTGGGAAATAACCACTCGGTTTATTTTTGTCGGCAAACCTCCAAGTGCCATGTTTGTAAACGAAAACACCACTCATTATTACATCCAAATCGGAAACCAAGTAAAGTAACAATCGGAAATGCAGAATCTGGTGTCGTTAATACGGTAACAGAAACTGTTCAACCAAATGAGTTAACTAGTATAACCTCATGTTTTTCAAATATACAGAGTCATGTTCTTTTGGCTACAGCCTTTGTAAAGGTTTTGTCAAAAAATGAAGTTGGTATTACATTTAGATGTCTTTTAGATCAGGGATCCCAAGCATCTTTTATTACAGAGAATGCAGTTCAAACGCTTAGACTAAAAAAGATTCTGACGAAGGTTGTGATAACAGGAGTAGGAGGACAAGAGGACTTAGTATCCAAACACATAGTAGTTGCTAATCTGCAGTCAATCCATGATCCCCATTTTTTGATAAAAGTGAAACTTCACGTTTTAGACAAATTGACAGCATTCATGCCTTCAAAGAAGTTTGCTGTTCAATTATGGTCGGATCTATCTGAATTGCGATTAGCTGATCCTAAATTTTATATACCTAATAAGGTAGATCTATTACTAGGAGCAGAAGTATACGGACAAATACTAGAAGACGGTCTAATAAAAGGTCCTCCAGGATCACCAGTGGCTCAAACACTAAATTCGGATGGATTCTTTCAGGACAAATTCACTCAAGCTCTCACACTGGATTGGAGTGTGACTCTAACAATAGGATTGTCAGTATGCATTCCTATGTAGATGAAAATGAGGTTTTAAGAAGATTTTGGGAGATTGAGTCTGACGATTTCTCCTACAAGAAGAGTAAAATATTAACTCCAGAGCAACAAAAGTGTGAAGAAATATTTTCTCATACAACCTCTAGGGATGACTCTGGACGTTATGTGGTTAATTTACCTTTTAGAGACGAAGATCCTCGATGCAAGTACGGAAATTCGAGAAAGATAGCTACTAGGAGATTACAGTTGTTAGAAAAAAGGCTGGAGAAGAATACCGAGTTAAAGATACAATATTCTGCAGTGTTGCAGGAATATCTTGATCTAGGCCACATGGAGTTAGTACCTGAAAAAGAAAAAGAGGATGTTCATGTAGTTTATCTACCTCATCACGCTGTGGTGAAAGAAGATAGAACTACTAGTAAAATACGCATTGTTTTCGATGCGTCCTGCAAAGGGAGTAATGGGGTATCACTAAATAACGATCTTTTAGTAGGGCCCGTATTACAACCTGATTTGCGGCATGTAGTGTTGCGTTGGCGACAACATCCGATAATTTTAGTTGCTGATCTGGTTAAAATGTACCGTCAGATAAAGGTGACAAAGGAACATTGCAACTTTCCACGTATTGTCTGGCGAGATCAATCTGGAAACATGCAATATTATAGATTATTGAGGGTTACATTTGGCACTAATTCTGCTCCCTACCTAGCTGTAAAGGTATTACAACAGTTATCTGTTGATGAGGGAAAGAATTTTAAATCAATCGAGGATAGAGCTACCCAGGATTTTTATATGGACGATCTCATGACAGGTTGTCAGTCGGTCGAAGAAGGAATAGTAGTATATAAAGAGATGAAAGACTTGATGAGAATGGGAGGCTTTCAGCTTCAAAAATGGGGAAGCAACAGTCAAGAACTGTTGGAAAAGATTAAAATGTTGGAGAAGATAAAAGGAACAAAAATCAGGAAAAAAAGGTTGACATAGGAGTGGAAAAGGGAGTAAAGGAAGTGAGAAAGGTTCTTGGTCTAAATTGGAATAGCGAATTAGATAATTTTGAGTATTTGGTTAAACTTCCTGCTGTGAGCACCCCTTTGACCAAGAGGAAAGTAGTGGCAGATATTGCTCGCTTATTTGATCCCCTTGGCTGGATATCGCCTGTAATAATTAGTGCTAAAGTTATTATTCAGAAACTTTGGATGTCGGGCATCGAATGGGACCAGGAACTGCCAGATAAACTATTACATGAATGGATAGCATATCGTGGCAGCTTAATTGATCTTTCTGGTTTCACTATTCCACGATGGATTTACACAAGAGACAACAATGAAAGGGTTGAACTTCATGGCTTCAGCGACGCCTCCTGTCATGCTTATGCAGCGGTAGTCTATTTAAGAGTTATTAACAAAACTGGAGAAATATACACTAGCTTAATCACTTCTAAGACAAAGGTGGCACCTATTATTCAAAGATCAATACCACGCCTTGAATTGTGTGGAGCAGTTTTGTTAACACATTTAGTTGTAGATGTTGCGGAGACGTTAAAAATACCAAAACATAAGATACATGTCTGGACCGACTCGTCAGTGGTGCTTGCCTGGTTAAGCAGCCATCCAAGTCGATGGCAGACCTTCGTTGTAAACAGGACATCGGAGATTTTATCAATCTTAGATAGAAGCCAGTGGTCCCATGTACGGTCGAAAGATAATCCAGCGGACTGCGCTTCTCGTGGTTTAAAGCCGTCAGAGATTCTTAATCTCAAGTTATGGAAAGAAGGTCCATCTTGGTTATCTGATGTAGCTATCGAATACAGTCCACAATTTGACCATAACCAAGAAGTTCCGGAAGTAAAAATAGAAGAACGATCTAAGTTCGTTAACTTGCCATGTCACTTTATGGAATTAAACACTGCGAATGAAGGTTTATTTTTACGGTTTTCATCTCTACATAGGCTTCTTAGAGTAATTTCTTATTGCAAAAGATTCATTCAAATTTTAAAAACGAAACCAAAACCGAAATTTTCGAAATGGCTAACCAGTAGGGAATTGCAATCTTCTTAACATGACTGCATTAAAATATGTCAAATGCAATATTTTGCAGTCGAATTTGAAAATTTGAAAAAAAGAGGTAGAGTGAGCGAGAAAGGCGGGCTAGCTTCTTTGTGTCCCTTTAAAGATGAACAAGGCATCCTGCGAGTTGGCGGGCGTTTACATAAGGCCGAATTAACTCAAGATATGAAACACCCGATTCTTGTACCTCGAGAGTCCCATTTAGCCCAATTAATTATAACAGAAGCTCATGCAAAAACAATGCATGGTGGCCCATTGCTCATGATAAATTACATTCGGACAAAATATTGGATCGTTAATATAAAGACATTAGTAAAAGCCTACATTCGAAACTGTATTACTTGTTTACGTCACTCAGTAAGATCTAATCAACCCTTTATGGGTAATCTGCCAAAAAGTAGAGTTACACCCAGTAAGTCATTTTTTCAGAGTGGAGTGGATTATGCTGGCCCCGTATCAATAAGGGTTTCAAAAGGGAGAGGTCATCATGCGTCCAAAGGCTATATCTGTCTATTTGTATGCATGGCAACAAGAGCTAATTACCTTGAGGCTGTTAGTGACTTATCCGCTGAAGGATTTTTAGCAGCTTTTAAACGTTTTGTTGCAAGAAGAGGTCACAGTGCCGATTTATGGAGCGATAATGGCACAAACTTCGTGGGTGCCGCAAAAGAGCTCAAGAAATTATTGAATGTTGAGCGTTCTACTGTAGCCGTAGAAATTGCTGAGTGGCTAGCGACTAATGGCACTAACTGGCACAACATTCCTCCGTATGCTCCAAATTTCGGTGGATTGTGGGAGGCTGGTATAAAGTCCACCAAATTTCACCTCAAGCAAGTAATTGGTAATTCCACATTAACGTATGAGGAAATCACAACTGTACTGACTCAAATTGAAGCCTGTCTCAATTCAAGACCGATATCGCAAATCAGTGACAGCATACAGGATCCTTACCCACTGACCCCCGGTCACTTTTTATTGGGTGAATCTTTATTACTGGTTCCCGATGCTAATTATGAGAATTCCAATGTAAGTAGCTTAAGGCGATGGCAATTCACACAAAGATTGGTACAAAATTTTTGGCGACGTTGGTCGAATGAGTATCTTACTCAATTTTTGCAACGCCACAAATGGAGAAACAGTGTTTGTGAACCAAAAATAGGTGATGTAGTTTTAGTCAAAGAAGCCAATCTTCCACCTGCAAGATGGCTGCATGGTATAATAACTGAGAAACATACAGGTACTGATGGTGTTACGCGAGTAGTTAGTTTGCGTTGTGGGAATAGTCATATCAAAAGACCTGTCTCAAAATTGTGCCTACTGCCTGTGACTTAATAAGACTCTTCTTTTGCAAGTTTTTTTGCACATTTTTTATAATGTTTGAATTGTTTAATTTATATTTTTATTTTAACATCCATGTAGCATTTATTCAAAACATATTAACATTGTGTTAAACATTTTGCTCGAATTTTTCTAATTTGTAAGACAGTTACTAAAAGGTGTTAATGTGAGGGTTACTATACCGTCATAATTATTGTTATGAACATTCTGTCCATGGCGGGCGGAATGTTTAGCTATTTAAGTTGTCACTAGATGTCGTTGTACTAAAATATTAAATAACTGAATAACGATGTTGAGATTATTTGTAATAATATAAGGTGCAGCGATTTATTAATAAATTTACTCATTCTGTGTCTCCAACGTATTGGCTGTTTCAATTGCGTACCTTTGAAATAAGAGTAAAGTTCGTGAGAAAACGAACATACAGAATAAAGAGATTAAGACATTCCATCTTACTCCTCAGTGGTGACAACACACCTGTAGGTGAATTTTAAGTCATTTTAAATTTATTTAATGATATCTTATTGTTTATGCCCAAATTTGGTCATTTTGAACGCCATCCAATTGGGTTCGAGCTGGCGCATCACCCGATGGTATGTAGGTGAAAAAAACGCCGTCAGGTGGGGCGGCCGTGTGCGGCTTGCAGTAGCTCGACGCGTTGGCGAAGAAACGGTAGTTCGCTGGCCGCGATGTGGTGAAGCCGCGTATCTCGATTAACGCGGCCGAAGTTCACGCGACCGTGTAGGGTCCAGATAGTGTTTTTTAGTGCGTGTTACTTTGCTATGTGGATATGTGAATTTTGCAATATTTAACTAGTTCGGGTGATGCGGAATTGTGCACGTATTAGATATACGGTCTAGGATACGAACCGCGCATTCCTTGGTCGAGTGCGTCTCCCGGTTTACTTTACTTACTTACTTATCTTCACGCACAATCCCTGACGGGGTAGCCAGAGAGAACAGATCGCCAAGTGTCACGATCCTTACATATCTCTTTCGCTTCTTTCAGATTCATTATCTTCTTCATACATGCACGTCTAGGTATCCGAGTACTCTTGACCCTACCCTCTTCGAGCAATTTGCTCACATGGTCTTCGAAAGTTAGTCTCGGTCTACCTCGACACCTTTTAATATTAACTTTCGCGCTATATATTTTCTTCACCATTCGGTCTTCACTCATTCGTTCAACGTGCCCAAACCACCGAAGCACGCCCTTATCAATTTTTGTGATAAGGTCATCTTTCAAACCTGCCATATTGCGAATCTCTTCGTTTCGCTTTCGGTCGGCCATAGTAACGCCGCACATTTTACGAAGAGATCGCATCTCCACTGCATTCAACTTACTTTTATGCTTCTTCTGGCATACCCAGGTTTCGCTGCCATATAACAAAGTCGGTACCAACACTGCGTTATGTATTGCAAGGCGTGCACTCTTCGCTACGCCTTGCCTTTTGACTAACGCAGTCAGGGCACCATTGACTTTGTTCCCGGCAGCGACACGCCTGTCCACATCTAAATCACATCTTCCATCCCGGCTAAAAGCACTCCCCAAGTATACAATTTCATTTACCTGTTCTAGACATTCCTGATTTACCCATATTTCACACTTCGTTCTCTCTTCGTCCCTTTCAAATACCAGAACCTTAGTTTTATTAGCATTCAAACGGAGACCTTTAATTTCACATTCCTCTTTCATACACGTGACTAATGCCTGCAGTTCTGCCTCTGATGGTGCAATAAGCACTGCATCATCAGCATACAGCAGACAATTTACTTTTATGTCACCCAATTTCACACCCAAACAGCTATCTTTCAGCTTTTGTAAACAGCTGTCGAGATACAGTATGAACAGCCAGGAAGACATGACACAACCCTGTTTTACGCCCGTTTGGACGCTAAACATGGGTGACAGATCATGCCCTACCCGCACACAGGCTTTACAGTCACAGTAAAGAGACTGCACAGCCCTTAGCAATCGGCCATCCACACCATACCCCGGCAACAGTTCCCACATTTTCTTCCTTACAACCTTATCAAATGCTTTCTCAAGATCCACAAAAGCACAGAAAATCTTCTGGTTAACAGCCAGAAGCTTTTCCGTGATCATACGGAGAGAAAACATTTGATCCGTGCATCCTCTTCCAGGTCTAAATCCGCATTGTGCCTCCCATAGAAATCTTTCCGATTTCTCTTGCATCCTACGTGTCAAAACCTTCGAGTAAACTTTACTTGCTAAACTGGTCAAGCTGATCGCCCGATAGAACCCGCAGTCAAAATGTGAACCTTTACCTTTATATAAAGGCACAATGACTGCGGATCGCCAATCATCCGGGACATCCCCCGTCCGCCAGCACAAATTGCACAGCAGATGAAAGCTGTCCCAGACGCGAGGCCCACCATACTTGACCATTTCAGCAGTAACTCTGTCTAGTCCCGCAGCCTTACCACATTTCAAACTTCGAATCGCACGTTCAATCTCTTTCATACTGATGACCTCAGTGTCATCGAGGTCCGGGTCTGGCGTACCAGTCACGGCGTCATCCCCGGATCCCTCACTAAGATCATCACACGCATACATTTCTCTATAAAATTCGCTCCATCGCTGCATGACGTCCGATTTTTCTGATAGGACGTCATTAGTTCTCGAAAGCACTTTGTTCATTCTTAAGGCCGTCGCACCACTTCGGGCCCTTCCAACCTCTTTCCAGAAGAGTTTGGAGTTCTCCTTAAAGTTGTGCGACAACCTTTCATCCGCTTCCATTCTACACCTTTCACGCACTTCCTCAATCAATGCTTTCGTGTGAACTTTCTGCAGCTTATATCTTTCTTTCATCTTCTCTCTCATATCCTTATCATTACTAGAGGCCAAGTAGTCTAACCATGCTTTCTTCTTCTTCTTTACAGCTTCTTTCACTTCATCATTCCACCATGCATCTCTTCTTTTACTACTGCCTCTTTTTATTGTTCCACACACTTCTTCCGCTGCACTTACCATTCCATCCCTAAGGTTCTGCCATGTTCTTTCTACACATTCGTTTCTGCCATCGATGGTGTCAAGCTTTTCGGCTACCCTCGCATGATATTTGTCCCTAGTATCCGCTTCCTGAAGCTTCCAGCTTCGGATGCGACAGACCGACTGTGGTTCTGTTACTGCCGTCCGGTAGCGCCAACCCGCGAACAGACCCCTAAATCTAGTAATCACTAGATAGTGATCCGTTCCCAGGTCAGCACCCCTGAACACTCGCGTATCCATAACCTGTTTTCGCAGTCGGTCATCCACCAGGAACAAATCGATCATACTTCTCTCATTCTTTCTTTCTCTAGTATACATATGGATTTTCTTGTGATTAAACATAGTGTTTGTCACAAGAAGACCCTTTTCCTTGCATACCGCCAGTATAAGCTTGCCAACATCATTAACCCTTTTATCGCCAAACTTTCCAAGTACCGACTCGTACCCTGGTCGAGCGGTACCAACCCATCCATTCAAATCACCACATACAACAATCCTTTCGTTTCCCCTAGCCAAATCTAGAACTTCTCTTACATTCTCCCAAAACTCCTCCAGCTCAGCCCTGGACGACGAAGCCACCGGCGCATAAACAGCCAAAAGGAATAACTTCGTCAGTCCCAATTTAAAGCGAACCCAGAGAAGTCTTGAGTTCACAAACTTATATTCAGTCATAACATCGACCAACCGAGAAGACAGCAGCACCCCCACTCCCTGGCAGGCGTTCTCGCTCTCCGGGACTCCGGACCATAGAGCTAACGCCCCGCCAGGGAGCTCTTCAGTACCACTGCCCTTCCGTTTGGTCTCCGCCATACACACGACATCTAATTCTCTTTCTTTCATTATTTCGATCAACTCATTCGTCTTATCTCTCATGCCTCCTCTAACATTCCACGTGCCAACTCTGCACTCCGTCCTCCACCTTCCGCCATGTCGGGCTGTGCGTGACGGGTGGCGGTCCCCATCGCCGCTTTGCGCGCTGCATTCCACACCAACGGGGACGAGCTGGTGTGCGTCGCCTTGGGGGGACGCCCTAACCCTCGTTGACATGGGTGCGCAGCTGAGTAGAATTGCAGCCCTGAAAAGGGCTGGCAGGGGTCGCGACGAGCACGCTTCTACAATGACCCCCATGTCTCCCGGTTGATTGTCTGGAAATCATTATAATTGTGCCGTCGCGTTAAGTGACCTTTTTTGTGTTTGTTAGTTTACGTGTCAACGAGGCGTATTTTGAATTCTTTACGCGACGTGGTGTTTTAGTGTCGAATGAAGGAACTTAGTTGTGTTTAACGTTGAGCCGTATGACTCATTAAGAGATCGCGTTAGTTCTCTATTTATAATTTTGTGATAAGTGAATCCAAGACATTGAATGTCGAATTTTGAACTACTGTCCTTACTGTGTCGGGTATCACGTGTTCGATTCTTTGATGAATGTGGAATTAGGCGAGTTTAAGTTAGTTAAATGTACAATGAAGCTAACAGACTGAAATAGAGACAATGAAGAAAGCAATGGTCCAGCCGTGGAACCTGCCGGAGCGATGCAGCATTGTGGTGCAGTCTGGAACTCGGCCGCTGCTGGTCGCCTAAGCTGCTCCAGGTCTCAAACATTTACACATCACTAATCACTACTTGCCATGCACCTCACACCCACTTACGGCCTGATCGAGCCTTGGGGCGATCTAAGAGTCGGAAACAGGTACGTACTATATTTCCCTAGCCTTTTCAAATATAGCTTAGTATTATAAGAAATTCTTCCATATGGCCATTGGGCTCGAACCCGCGGCTGCTTGTTGAATCTTCCGCTCATTGGCCCCGGGATATTTGACATTTGCAGGGGCAGCTGTGGGCGGTAACATTTATATTTACATAGATATTGTATGTATACCACCCGATGGATACATTTCAAACGTCTCCTCGACCAACTATTCCAGTACCTCCTCGTTTGTCCTGCTGGAGACAGACCTTACTGAAATGAACAGCATACGCCC